ACAGAGCTACACAGAGAAACCAAAAAAAAAAAAAAAAGAACTCTGAACATGGGGTCATGCTGCATGGAAGACTACATGGTTTAGGAGAACTCTCCCCTGGCGTCGGGAGAGCCCCCTTCCCCCCCGACTTGCAGTGGGAGTTACCTTGCGGTCCGGCCAGTTATATTTCTCAAACACGGGCTCATAGTCTTCCACCGCCCCATCAGTGATAAGCATGATGGCCTGGTTACAGAGACTTCCTTGTCTGGACTCTTGGAACTGAGGGAGCAGGAGTGTGGCTGTCACTACAGGCCACAACCCGTAGCTGCAATATGTCCTCCCTCTCCCTCCACCTTCCCAGGCTTCCCCAGCAGCAGGTACCTGATTCAGGATCTGGAAAGCCTCGATTAGGGCTTGACTCACAACACCCACGCCTTTGACCATCAGTTCCTCCACCAACTGCTTGAAATGCTGTTGGGGTGAACATGAGATGAGGCTTGGGGGATCAAGTGGACCCAGGAACCCTAACTGGGGAGGGTGCTAAGAGGTGTCGTCAGTGCCTGCCTGCAGGGCCTGAGCTCCACAGTGTAGCCAATCACATCCACTTGAGTCCGTGTTTTTCAAATGCCCAAAGACGAAGTAAGCGTGAATGGCTTGGTACTAATCTATGTCTCTTCCTAGAAGGTGGGGCCAAGGATGAGGCTAGCCAGAAGGTGGACAGTCCAGTCTAACCGCTGACTTCCTTCGCTCTTCCCAGGGGCCATGTAGTGGGCAGAGCGCAGAATCTTCATAGACACCACCCCTTACCCTGATGTGAGCTTCAGCCCTGGTGGGCACTCACCTCTCGGTTGTCTCGGTCTGCCTGGACGAGGATGCCTTTGAAGCAGGGCTCAATGTAGTGGACATAGTCATTGTACTGCAAGCCACAGTAAAAAAAAAAGATAGAAAGAAAATAGATGTCTCATCTGGGCGTTACTGTTTGGGGGTATCTGAACGGAGCAATCAGAGGATCTTGACTCTAAAACTGCTCCCCAAGTCCTGGTTCTGCTGTAAGGGGCACCTTCTAGGGTGTAGTGAGAACCTGCCACCCTGAGGGAGTTCCTCTGTGCACTCAGACCAGACAAGCTACCTTCCACCAGGCCCAGAGCTTCCCTTGCATAGGTCACTCCCCAGCCTGGGTAGGGGATTCCTAACTACTTCTTGTTGTTGTTTATTTGACAGCGGATGTCATTATGGAGCCCAAGCTGGCCTGGAATTTAAATCTCTTGGCTCAATGTCTAGAATGCTAAGATAATAAGTGTGGGCCACCAAGCCAGCTACAAATGGACTCTTGCTCTTTGCATACATGTAGATGGTCATTCAGCTATCCATAGGGGTAGGACTAGGGGGAACATGAACTATTACTGCCCTCCCTTAATCTCCCTGGTAGTTAGAATACAAATTTTCAGGGCCCCTAATCTGCTTAAGTAAGAGGAAAGAGAGAGGACACAATATCTATATCAAAAGAGCTCCGAGGTACACTGGGGAATGCAGAAGACAGGTTCTAGAAGTTTTTCTGAGGAAGCAGGGCGGAGTGTGGGACGGAAGAGCTGCAGGCTTTGAGGGATAGCACACTTCCTCTCCCTGGTAGAGTATGGAACCTGTCTCTGTGGCCATCCTGTTGGCACAGGCCATGGGATGAAGGTGGGAGTCAACCTGGTGTGTGTGTGTGTGTGTGTGTGTGTGTGTGTGTGTGTGTGTGTGTGTGAGATGGTTAGGAGGGCTGCCATGGACAAGCTGAGCCTTGGGGAGCAACTCAGGGCCCGGATCCCCCCGCATGATCATTCTGAAGTAAGACACATCTGCATGCTACACAAACTCCACTAACAGCTAGAAATGGCAGCAACTGCAGACTGATAAGGAACTTGGCATCAAATGGCCTTCAAAATGACACCCCAGGGTGGCTGTCAACTCTGCTTCCACGGAGCTGAAGTGGTTCCCTCCCCCTTCTCCTGTGTTCCTCCTTTCTGCCCACGTGTCTGTGCTTATGGGATAAGGAAAGTGAGGGGACTGGAATGATAACAGATCAAGGGTCCAAGAGCCCATCTGACCCCCTGGGGACGGGGAGGCAGCCAGCAGTGATGCTCCCAAGGAACCCATAGAGAGGATGGCGGCACTGCTGGGGCCTGTGGCGGACACTGAGAAACTGATGGAGAATGTGGCCTCAATGAGGGGTGTGTGGGTATTATTTCAGACGTTTTGAGGGACTTTGTGAAGTCACCTCGAGGCAGACCATGGGTGCTAGTTCAGGAGTCTCCAATGTTGAGGAAGGTGTCCCTGTGTGGCATGAAGCACCCGTGGCTGGAAACACAGTCCTTTTGTTTCAGGAAAAGAATATTTTCCCAGCGCAGGTAAGAACAGCTGCAGAAGAGGAAGCCACCATTACCGCAATGATATTCACGAAGTCATTTTCTCCCAGGGTGTCCAAGATGGTAGTGATGGTGTGCTTGGCGATGGCCATCCTCAGCCCCTTCATGCTGCCACTCATGTCCACCAGAATCACGATGTCTTTGGGAGAGGTGGCCGCTTGTATGTACCTTTAGCAGAAAGAAAAGTAAATGGGAGAGAGGCCAAGGCTGGTACTGCCACCTGGCGGGGAGCCTCTAGTTACATTTACTTGGTCTGCTCCATGGGTTCCCCCAAGTTTAGACCTAGGTTTCATTGTGTGCTGTAACCCCTGGACACTGAGGTTACTGGGGCGATGAGATTGGAAGCCTCCTCCTTTTTGACAGGGCAGCCAGGGTCCCTGAGGGCCCGGCAGTGGGAAAGGAGGGGGCTCGGATATACTGCTGATCTACCAGGAAAAGAGTTTGGCAAGAGCCAGAGCTGGAGAGAGCCTGATCTGGAGATAGCATGGCTTCTGGATATACTGCTGATCTACCAGGAAAAGAGTTTGGCAAGAGCCAGAGCTGGAGATAGCCTGATCTGGAGATAGCATGGCTTCTGGAGGGTGGTCTGAGCTGGAGACAATGGGGAGGGAATGAGGAGCGTGGCCAGAAAGTCTTCCTATTCCTGGGTTGGATTAAGCCACTGACGTCCCTTCCTAAGCCTCTGGGTAGAGGAGGGGGTAAAAACGCCAGGCAAAGCCCAAAGACAAATGCTGGGGCTCAGTAGTCCTCCTCGGGGAGCACTTACCAGCCACGGTTTCTGCAGTCGAAAGCAATGACTCCGTTTTCATCAGGCTTCCACTTTATTCCTGGGGGAACAAAGGCTGCATGTCCCACCAGCTCGCTGAGCTGTTGCCTGGGGGCCCTGGCTGTTGCTGGCTCCCGGAATGGCCATGACCGCCAGGATAGGTTCTGCTTCTAATATGAAGACTATGGTGAAGATGCTTAACTCCACCCTGTAAACTGAGGCAGCTGGCAAGGATGGAAGCCACTTCTACCGGGAGAAACTTCCCATCCAAACTGTCAAATCCAGGGTAGGGATCCCCCATATGTACCAGAGCTCATTTACGGGGATAAACCTCACATCAGTGGAGGAAGAGCTGTGGGAGCCATCTGGCCATGGGCATAGCACGGAGAACCAGAGCTCTGACCTGCTCTCACCCCAGTCAGGTGGCTCATTAGCATGTGTGGTCCCTCCTGGGGCTGAGAAAAGAATGTTACCAAGTAATTTGATGTCAGGAACTCCTGGCACCAAGCAGAGTAGGTGTTCAACAGCTGTCTCCTGAATGAGATGAGAGGCATGAGAGACCTCGCTTGAACCCTAGCAGAGTGCAGGGGGTGGATTTTGTCTCTTCATCTAATCATTAGTTGGGATAAATGCACAAAAAAACACCAGCGTGATCCACAAATCCTCTGCAGAGAAACACCTTCATAATCAGGAATAATGGGTTCAAAGTGAGTGAAAAGAACAGATGGGATTGTAATATACCATGCTGGGGCTAGACAAAGCACTGTGGCAGAATCCAGCAGTCTAGCGGCTTCTGGTTTGCTAGCAGGTGGGATCTGAGTAGGCTGAGGCTTCAGGGCCATTCCCCGAGACTCACCAAGTAAGAATGGAGTCCTAAGGGTGAGGATGGGGAACGAAGCAGCCAGAAGCCAAGGTCTTGAAGGGAAGCAGGCCAGGAGCAAAGGACAGGCTTGATGCAGGGGCACTTGTGTGGCATGGTCACCTAGACTCAGGTGGCCAGAGAGTGAAGTCTTCCTAAGGCCACACTGAGGGCAGCGAGGTCGGGGGAAACCTGATCTCAGACCAACAGCAGTGGGGAACTGGATCTCAGAAGAGTCCTGAGGAGAACTGAGCTGGTGTTCTTGGCGGAATTAAAACCTTAGAAGAGGCCTTAGCAAACTTGGATGCCTTACCTTCAAGTCGAAACACGAAGGGAAATCTCCCCTCCCCTTCCCTGCCCCTCTTCCCTTCCTTCCTGCCCTCTTCCCCTCCCCCCAACTCTATTCCTCCTTCCCTTATGGTTTCATGCCTATAGGGTTCCCTCAGCTTACAAGTAGCATTGGCCACACACACAGAGATGACCCCAAGCCACGAGTGTGAGAGGCAGTGAAATCGAGACCATTGGATTTATCTCCTCGAGAGTTAAAGATGGTGGGACTATCAAATACAACACACAGGCTGGGCCTGAGACATCATCGGGATCTGAAATGCCCCCTAGTGCTCATGTGCTCAGGGCCTGGTCCCCAGCTCATGGTGTCCAGAGGGAAATCTTGAAGTGGGGGCTGGGTGGAAGGAAGTTAGGTCATTGGGGGATCTCTTTGAGTTGGAGGCCAGCCAGGCAGGGCTGCACAGCGAGACCCCATGAAGAAGAAGAAGAGAAGAGGAGGAAGAAGAAGAAGAAGGAGAAATGGCTTTTAAAATTATAGAACTTTTAAAAATGAAAAAAGTGCGGATTAAAAGAAGCATCCTAGTGAGAAAATAAAATAGGGAAAGAGAAAATTCAACATTTGAAAGATTACTCCAGAGTTTTGTTGGTTCTACAACGAGAAGATCAGTAAATATCCTGCTAGAGGCACAGGAAGAAAAAAATGGCGAGCTGTGAGAAAGACAGTTAAAGGGATGTGGGGCTGGGCTGGAGAGAGGACTGTCAGTACAGCGCTTGCCACACAAGGGTGAGAACATGGGTTAGGATATGTGGCCCCCATGTAAAAACCCTGCTGTAGTTTCCTGTGCCTGTATCCCAGTGCCGGGCTGTGCCCAGAGACAGTTGGATCCTGGGAACATGCTGGCCAGCTAGTCCAGCCAAATCAGCAAGTTCCACGTTCAGTGAGAGACCATGTCCCCAGAAAAAATGGAGATGATTGAGAAAGATACCTGATGTCAATCTCTGGCCCCTACATGCGTGATAACATGCACATGCTTGCACACATATATACACACACACATGCACATACAACCCACAATCATACATGCATACAAAACACACACATGTAGACACACCACACACATGCACTCAGAATACACACACACATACTCACGTGCACACATAGCACATACATTGTACACACAGTACACACATGTATACACAACACACACATGCACACACAGCACGCACATGCATCACAAGACACACACATGTACACACAACACATCCACACACAACATACATATGCATATACAACACACACACATACACACAACAAAAAAAATGATAAAAAAAGAGACACTGGCGAGTATTTTAGAATAGACAACCCAACTTAAGTATCCAGGAGGCACAGTGCATCCCAATCCAGCTAAAAAGATGTCCCGATGCAGATGCATAAAGCTGCAGAACATCCCAGGGAAAGCAGTCACATCTTAAAAGCACGTGGAAAAGGAACAACAGCCGCACTGTGAGCAGGTTTCCTCCACATCCGTGGGAACCAGGAGGGGAAAGTACATTCTGAGGATGCTGAGAGGATTGGGCTGTCCCTTTAGAAATGCTGTCCATCAGAAGCACCACTGGAGAATGAGGGTGAGAGAAACATCTGCAGACAGACACACTTGGAGGCACTTTACCCGCAGGGAGGACTCTATGAGAGTTTACTTCTGGAAGAGGGAAAATGAAAACAGCCCAGGATGCTCAAAGGGTGGTGAGCAGGTGCCGCAATGTGTAAGCCGAGTCACCATCTGTGAGGACGGAAATGTCAGGACAGAGAAGGGTCAGGAGCACAGCGGTTCCAAAGGCTTTCTTGAAAGGAATTCTTTTGGCAGGACGATAATCATATATATTTGTAATGTTCTGTTTTGTTGAATATGTGTGATAAGATGGTGAAGTATTGACCAGAAGGATCGGAGCAGGCGGGTGCTCATTTCCAAATGGATACACAGAGAGGGGAGAGGACAATGAATACGGGAGATTTATCAAAAAGGGAAACCATTAAAAAAGAAAGAGAAAGAATAAAAATATTTGGATTAGTAAAGAACTTAATAAGAACACATATGCCAACATGCAAAAAAAAAATGCAAACGCCATTTGTCAGTGAGAACAAAAGATTGCCCCTTTGGGTAAAAATTTAAGAACTATAAAGTATTTTTAAGAGACATGGTTAAGATAAAATGACATTAAAAGGCTAAAAAAAGATGGAAAAATATATCACATGAGTGTCCTTCTATGACTTCCAAGAAAGAAATTTAAAATGAAGTACCATGGGGCTAATTAAAAGTCAGAAACAAGAAACACACAAAGCAACAGCGACAAGGAAAATGGAAGCAAAACAGTCAGTATGACCATGCCAAAGGCTCAGGATTTTCTTTCGGCAGAAGGATCTCACACGCCCTCTTAAGCACACACAGGATGGGAAAGCTTGAGATGTACCAGACCATTAAAATTGATCTCAGTTAAATTCCATTATTACCAGACAGATCACAGAACAACTGAGTTAAAAATGTATTTTATTATTTTTAATTAGATATATGTGTGTGGGTCTGTGTGTGGATGTCTGCACATGATTGCCAGTGTCCAAAGTGGCCAAAGGTGCAGGATTCCCCTGGAGCTGGAATTATAGGCAGTTGTGAGCTTGCCTCTGCCTGTTAGTGTCTTTTAAATGTCTGCTGTATATGTAGTTATGTTCTCTTCTTATTTATAACATTCTACATTAAAAAATCAATTTCAAAGTTGTTTTGATGTCTATAGGAACTCTTTGTTGTTGTTGTTTAGTGCTGGAGGAGGAACCCAAGGTCCTGTGCATGCTAGACAAATGCTCTTCCACTGGGCTACACTCCAGCTCTTCAGGAATCATTCTTTGTCTTTACCTCTCAGTGTCCTGTTTCATCCATTTTAGTTCTAACTGCTTATGTTTATGTTGGCATACTGGGATTACCATATACCCCCTTCCTTCTCTCCATCTGGCCTGGAACTCATTATGTAGCTCAGGTTAGGCTTCATCAGTTCTCTTGCCTAAGCCCCCTGAGTCCTGGTATTACAGGTGTGAGCCAGAAAATGGACATGACTGTAATTCTTACAAATATAAATACAGAAGCCCGAAATAAAATATTAATGAGTCTAATGTAGCAGTGCCTGAAAGGATTTGCTAAAATCAAGTCATGGTATTAAATAGGAATGGAAAGATGGGTTAACGTCAGAAAATCCAGGAGTTAAGTGGGCAAAATGAAATATGCCTTTCTCAGGGAGGGAACGCATGCAGGTAATAATGAGTGGAAGGTGCTACTCTTACTGTATGATCAGAAAATGTGATGTCAAACCACAGAGAGATACCATCACAGACTAACAGAATTTCAAGGCTTAACAATCCTCAGTTAAAGGAAGCATGAATCAGTAGAATATCTTACTCATCACTTCAGGGGGAATATAATTGAATACAAATGTTTTGGAAAATAATTTGTGATTTTTCTTGCCAAAATTGAATACCTAGATATCTTAAGACCTAGAAAATTTATTCCTAGATACAGACTCAAGAGAAACTCCTGAAATACATCTAAAAACAAAACATGTGTAAGAATACTCACAGGGTGGGGACAGAGTTCAGGTGTGGAACGCTTGCCTAGCATGCT